CCCCCACCTCTGATGCATTATGGCAACTGAGGAGAAATCTCCATCAGCCTATCGAGCAACTTCACAGATAATGCCTCAAAGCGCTGGAGACGTCACAGCTTTTAGTCCCGTTAATCCCTCAGCCGCCGCAGACAGAGCACCCCCTCCTCTGCTCTCACAGAGGCCATTTGTTTTACACAGTTACTTTTTCAAAGTGTTAAATATTGGCGAAATCTGCGAGGCTGGTTTGTTTTATGGGTTACCCTGTCCCGGGTTGCCAAGGGGGACATATAGGACAGCTTTTAATGGAGGCGGAAAGGCTGACATTAAATACTGGCCAGATGGACTTTCTCCTATCCTGCTCATAAAAGTTCTTAGGACAGTTCACAAATCAAGGCCTCTCAGTATTATGTTAAGCGTTTGGATTGTTATTGTTATTGTACATTTGCAAATACTAATGTAATTTATCGCTTTTCGGGCACAATTCGAGACTTAACCCACCCAGACATTTAATATGTATAAGCATTTAACAGTTAATATTAAGTTGATGAAGTGCCTGGTGCTTTTACTGCCTTCCATGGAAACTGGCTTTCATAACTCTGACAAGGTTTTCATCCAGCGTGGAGATTAAGACGAGTGCCATCTACTTCATAACCGTTTCACAGGCCCACGTTTGGTTTACGAGAGGCAGTGCTGGAGTTTTGGGGGTAAAATATCTCCTGTGTGGAAAGGAAGCAGAAGGCAGCAGGTATACTGTAGAGTCAGGCCAGAGAGGGGAAAATGAAAAGTGAAATTCAAGATGCGAGGCTAAAACGGAAAAACGGCGGCTCTCTGGGGGTCGGTCCTCTTTCCGGAGTGGAGGAAAGTGGACCCCGTGGTAGAGAGTTTGCGGTGGTCCAGGTTTTTGGGTCAGTCACTATGATGTTGCTGTTAACATCACAACAAATACGAGAAGGGTTTCCTTACTTAGATGTAATGATATCTGTAGAACTAATATCAGGAACACCATTATTTAATAACCGAGCAGTGTTTGGCAAAGTACAGTAACATAACATCATAATGAAGTACTATTTACTGGCACCTGATCATATCTGTACTTCACTACTGGCATATTGTACTTTACTTTATCTACTCATCAGTATATTAATATCTGATGCAGTACATTTTGATGTACACCATAACATGATCCAGTGATATAATTGAAATAGTCTATAAC